TCTCAGTGGGCTGGCACTATAAGACCAGCTTAAGTCTGGCCTAGTACAAGCAGCCGCACATACACATGCACATGCATGCACGTCGTCATATGAGCGAAATATTCTCAAGCTCGACGTTAACCCCAATTTCACCTCACCTCACCTTTAACTGGGAGAGTGGTAAATACAGACAGCATTATTCCAGAGGAAGCATTATGGTCAATGTACTGCAGTAATCCTTAAAGCAAACATACTGGAGTAGGCCTCACATCTGAAAACATAGATACTTGTGTACCACAACTAGTGCATTAAACATCAGTAAGCCTCACATCTGAAACATAGATACTTGTGTACCACAACTAGTGCATTAAACATCAGTAAGCCTCACATCTAAAACATAGATACTTGTGTACCACAACTAGTGCATTAAACATCAGTAAGCCTCACATCTGAAACATAGATACTTGTGTACCACAACTAGTGCATTAAACATCAGTAAGCCTCACATCTGAAACATAGATACTTGTGTACCACAACTAGTGCATTAAACATCAGTAGGCCTCACATCTGAAACATAGATACTTGTGTACCACAACTAGTGCAGTGTACCACAACTAGTGCATTAAACATCAGTAAGCCTCACATCTAAAACATAGATACTTGTGTACCACAACTAGTGCATTAAACATCAGTAGGCCTCACATCTGAAACATAGATACTTGTGTACCACAACTAGTGCATTAAACATCAGTAGGCCTCACATCTAAAACATAGATACTTGTGTACCACAACTAGTGCATTAAACATCAGTAAGCCTCACATCTGAAACATAGATACTTGTGTACCACAACTAGTGCATTAAACATCAGTAAGCCTCACATCTAAAACATAGATACTTGTGTACCACAACTAGTGCATTAAACATCAGTAGGCCTCACATCTAAAACATAGATACTTGTGTACCACAACTAGTGCATTAAACATCAGCAAGCCTCACATCTAAAACATAGATACTTGTGTACCACAACTAGTGCATTAAACATCAGTAGGCCTCACATCTGAAACATAGATACTTGTGTACCACAACTAGTGCATTAAACATCAGTAAGCCTCACATCTGAAACATAGATACTTGTGTACCACAACTAGTGCATTAAACATCAGTAGGCCTCACATCTGAAACATAGATACTTGTGTACCACAACTAGTGCACATCATCATTAGGGTTTGATCCCTGGCTTCATCACACCAAGAGATTTTGAAACATGGTTCTTGGCACTCATCAGTAAGGGGATAATATAACCCAGCATTCTTGTTGTGATAATTCCGGGTCTGTGTGAGGCATCCATGTTAAACTGTGAGCTTGCACATTGAAACTGGCATCAGTCTGGGCTTGTACCAGCAGTGACACAGACAGTGAGTGAGTGAGTTTAGTTTTATGCCGCACTCAGCAATAATCCAGCTATATAGTGGCGGTCTGTAAATAATCGAGTATGGACCAGACAATCAGTGATCAACAGTATGAGCATCGATTTATGCAGTTGGGATACGATGCCATGTGTCAACCAAGTCAGCGAACCTGACCACCCGATCCTGTTAGTCGCCTCTTGTGATAAGCATGGGTTCCTGAAGACCCGATTCTAACCTGGATCTTCACGGATGAGCCACAGACATGCACGCAAGCACACAGACAGACAGACAGACACACAGACAGACACACACAATGATAGACATCTGACGCCCTGTCACTCTGGACTTTATCTCCAAACGCTGACAGTGTGGTGCAAGGGACATATTGTCTCAGTTATGTTCTGGCTGCTATGACATAAGTGGATCCAGGAATTTTCAAAAGGTGGTGTGTGGGGGGTTCAGGGGGTATGCCGGAGTGTCCATGCAGAAGACTCAATGTGATCCGCCAATGTATGACATAGTTATAATATGCTGGGTGCACTCTCTCTCTGTCTTTATTTCTCTCAGAAAGAACTCACACACTCTCAACTGACCCCCAATCAATGTTCCATTTAGGCACAGTGTTCAAACTTTTTCTGTATACCAGTATGCTTGTGTGCTCTGTATTCTGAAGCACTACTATACAAATTACTATCACACCGTTGTAAGACTGGAGCTCCAACATATCTGCAATGGACAAGATAGCATGACGTCTTGACATATGAAAGGAATCTAATGGAAGGAGTGTGTTGGGATGTAGCTTGGTGGCATTTGGAACCTGATACTCAATCTAACCATGCCACCCAGGTCACTGACGAATTAGGTGAGAAAACATTCTGCTGTAGACCATCTTTCCTGACTTGCCTGCTTAATGGCAAGATCTTGATGACCTTTAGCTGTTTGTTTAGAGCATGTATCGCTGTTGGAAGCTGATTTTGTAATGGTGGGAACATAGTTCACATCACCCCGTATCTTCACGTCTGTGTTGTACAGGGCTGCTGCTGCTGAGCTCATCACTAGTGTATGTGTGCGCACATCCTTGCTCATCGCCAAGCAACACATCTTGGGTTTCTTTGGGGAAAGAAAGAATGTATTGAAAACATAGTCTTCTGCTCTTTCTTGATGACAATACAAGCGTTTGTTGTTATCAAGGACTATCTTCTTACTTGCTTGTGAACTGATTTGTTTCATCAACAAATATTGGAGGATACTGTAAAGATGTACAGTGTATGTTTAGCGTGTTTGTATTCGCATGGTGTAGTCTGCAGCATTCCTGCTGTATCAAGTAGTACAGTAATCTGTATCTCAGGGCACGGTCAAGGTCCTAGCTGCCAGGGCAGGTTGACATGCAGTAAGTCTAATCATTGAGTTTGAACACCATAAACCTATTTTAAGCCCAGAAGGCATGCACAACATTTACTCAGGTATGAAAAACTACCCGTGTATTTTTACACACATGAGAACAAGACACCATTTTGATACAGATTTTTAAGGTTAGGTTTGGACATCAGCTTTTCTATGCGATCGGTATGTCTACAGTTATTTGCAGTACGACCCGTGAAGATCCAGGGTAGAATAGGTCTTCAGCAACCCATGTGCTTGCCATAAAAGGCGACTATGCTTGTTGTAAGAGACGACTAACGGGATCGGGTGGTCAGTTTTGCTGACTTGGTTGACACATGTCATCGGTTCCCAATTGTGCAGACCGATGCTCATGCTGTTGATCACTGGATTGTCTGGTCCAGACTCGATTATTTACAGACCGCCGCCATATAGCTGGGATATTGCTGAGTGCGGCGTAAAACTAAACTCACTCACTCACTCACTATTTGCAGTACTGGTTATCGCAAGGTTTTGGTCAGGTAGTGGTAAAGGGCATAACCTACTAAAGCTACATCTTCAGTATCATTTGATGGCAAGTATTCAGCATATATTATTTGATAATTAAGAAGAGTATGATGACAATTTTCTTACTGTTTTGGTTATAAAATAATGGTATTCTTGCAGAAAGACAAATCTGTATAGAATTTGACAGATACAACTTGATGAGAAAGAATGTGTCATATTGGTATTTACAGTGTACGGTATTCTAATTGTTATGATGCATGTATGTGTTTGTTGAAGTCCCTGAGAAGGTCAAGGAGTGACTGGTACATGGTGAGAACTGGGTAAGAGAACCAATACTAGTAGAGCAAAAGGTTATCATCTGCAGTGAAACTTGGACTCTGGGAAACCTTTTGGGTGTTGGCAAAGTGTTCCATAGTATCCTGTACGTTAATTCTTCTCATGGATGAATACCTCTCTGTGCCATGTGAAGATGGTTTGGCGGAGGTCATCAGTAGTTTCGAGGAACTTTTCGTTTATGTTTATTACTGGATATCAGTGATCACAAAGACCCTCCATTACTAATGAATACCAACCCTTGCAATTAAGGTCTATTGTTCATTGTCTGTTTGCCCCTATTGGTCTTATTAAAGGGACAGTTGTACAGCACAGTTTGTAAAGTTCCATATTGCAAAGCCTTGTCATGTCCATGGTACCTGAGTTTTTACCATTGCACAGATACTTGGATGAGAATAATTAACTGTGTTATCTGCACGTCTAAATTTACCTATACAATTGCACAACCTCTTGACTTGATGTAAACTTACTCTGATTGGATATTTGTACATGTGCAGTTGTGATCATTTGACAGATTTACACTTTGTTTGCATCACATAGGTGAGGTGAAATTGGGTTTAACGTCATGCTTGAGAATATTTCGCTCATATGACGACGTGCATGCGTGTGTATGTGTATGTGCGGCTGCTTGTACTATCCCAGACTTAAGCTGGTTTTATAGTGCTAGCCCACTGAGATACCACGCCACAGTGAAGCATGAATACCCCACTCAGACACATTATACTGACTCCGAGCCGACCAGTCCTTGTTGTACCCATGAATGCCGAGAGCCAGGCAGGGACCAACAAGTACCATATTTTAACGTCTTTTGGTATGACGTGGTCGGGGATCGAACCCGCGACCTTCCGCTCTCCGGGCGGACGCTCTAACCACTACACCACTGAGGCGGTCACTTACATAGGTACCGGTATATATGATTACATGGGTATTTACAGTGTACGGTATTCTAATTCTACATGGGTACGTGTGATCAGTGCATTTGTTTGTGGTCACTGCTGTCATCATCAAATTCCATGCCTGGAGGTTATAAATGACTCAGAATCAGTCATGTGTCTCAGCCTTACCACCCAATCCCCAGTAGAGAGCTGCTGCAACGGACTTGGGGTACTAGGGACCTTTTTCTTACCTGGGATTTCACCAGAGGTGCAGTTTATCAGGAGACGACTTTGCAACCAATTGTGTTTTCCCCTCACATTTTCCTTGACTCAGTGTAATATATCTGAAATATTGTCCAAAACGGTGTCACACGCTCATTCGTGTATCTTTAACAAGTAGTTTATACAGGAGCCTAACCTGCCTGGAATCAGTTTAGTCTGTTGTGATGTTTCCCTGGGTTAAATTCACAGTCTCTGTATTGACTGGTTTCTGATGCTGATGTCTTCTCTCTGCAGGTAACTGGGCCTGGAGGCTTCGGCATGGACACTCCGGTAGCAGCAGCAGCAGCAGCAGCAGCAGCAGCAGGGCCTTCACCAGGACCAGCAAGATGACCAGCATATTCACACTAAGACAGATCTGCTGCTGACCACAACTTCATTTATGCCTGTTTAATGGACAATTTTTTTGCATACACCTCATGTTAGTTATGTCTGACTGGTGCCACAGGGACTTACCCCGGTACTTGCGGCTGGGATGGAAACATCCACTGACCAGATGTGAAGTCTTTGTGTATGGGGACACCCACTGTTGTGGTGTTTCAGTGTTTTGTAGACCCAATAAAGCTGTTATGAACATATTGATATGATAATGGATGTACCTTTATGAAACCAAGTAAAGATTAAACGGGGATTATGTATCATGGTCAGGCACCCATATTCGTATCAATCCAGCTGAAGTAGTAAATACTGATACTTTGTCATTGATCAAGTACCCAGATGTACAGCCTCCTCATCCTCAAGTATCCATTTTGTCATGTCATCATTCCTTTGTGGTAAATACCTTGAACCTTTAGGTTCTTGCGCTGAAACTATTGGTATCGAATTGTGACTGGGCATGGCCAGGAGAAACCATTTAGGATTTGGGTGATATAGTACTGAACAAGTCCAGGGCCCTTATTCCCAAAACGTTCGTAGCCCTAAGAAGTCTTAACTTTGGTCGTAGCCAATGTGTTAAGAATGGGCTTAAGAAGTTTGTAGGGCTACGAACGTTTCGAGAATAGCTAGCCAGGGCCCTTATTCTCGAAATGTTAGTAGCCCTAAGAATTCGTAACTTTGATGTAACTTTAGCCAATGTGTTAAGAATGGGCTTAAGAAGTTCGTAGGGTCAATGAACGTTTCGAGGAAAGCTAGCCAGGGAGTTCACATGGAATGAAAATATACTGCCCTGGTTAGACCAGGATGTTACTTTCCCCTATGTCATCCTCAGTCTGACAGGATATGATGCTATTGGATGCTGGTTATGTGTTATATATATGTAGCAGAGCCTGGGGATGTCCTCCTTGCCAGCCTCCTGATGGGGTATTCTCTTTAGCCATTTGGACATGGATTCTGATTTCAGATCCAAAGGTCTGTAGTTCAAATCCCTGGGTCTGGAAAATGTTAAAGCATTTACATTACTAATACAAAACCTTTCACTTCTTCATGATACAAATTGTCATCAAACACAGACATAGGAAATATACCATTTTATTACCTACGATGGTGAAAATATCAGGGTTCATATTTTTCATTCGAAGCCCCAGGGGAAAATATCACTTCGTCATGGTGACATGACATCATGAACAATGTTATGACGTTGTGTTCTACATGCGCCAATTGCGGGTAGCCAACCTTTGTTTGAAAGTAGATTTGGGTTTATTTTTCTCAATTTGACGACTTCGGTAATAAATAGAATATTATTTTCGTCCCCATATCATACTATGTTTATGACCCCTGTGCCTAAATATCTGTATCGTCACGATATGGCTGAGATATTGCCGATGTGATGTTAAATATTAACTCACTCACTCACTAAATATCAGTATATCCCTCGCTCTCACTTGAGAAATACCAACATTTAGGCACTCGTGTTGTAAACATAGTATGACATGGGTACTCATAATGTCCTCTATATATTAATTCATACATATTCATGGCTTCAGTGTTTGGGGAATTTATCATGACAAGAGTTCAGGTGGTGTTATTAGGAATAGTGACCACGGGGAAGTAGTTTCTGCACACCAGTATATAATGTGTCTTGGCAGAGTACAGGTGATGATTGTAACCAGATGGAAGAAGTGTTTACCAGCAGATGCTCTGTGAGCAGGGTCCTCTTATTGTTTGATAGATCATATACTTCTCATTAAAAGTTTAGACTCACTAGTGTAAATATAGCCACTTACTTCAGGCAACTGTTCTAAACTAAATTTTGCAAAATATGCCATACTGTTTAAAGGTACTGTTTACACATGAACTGATGTATTGTAAAACAAATTCGTAAGGTTGAAAATATTATTATCATGAGTTCAGTAAATGAACAAAACTTTACACCACAATGCAGCTGTTCATATGCTACGGCATTTGCACATGCTTTGTAGCAATTTGATGTATGATCCTCATCAATTCAGCTGCATAAATTTTGCAGTGTGTGTGTGTGTCTCTCTCTCTCTCTCTCGCAAGTTTAGTATAAAGTATATATGTACTTATTTTTTAACAGTATAGTATACAAATATGTACATTTTTTAACAGTATAGATTACAAATACCAACAGCGTCAGATATACAGAAATTTGCAACAAAAACAGATGACGTCATTACATTTTGTGACAGCAAAAGAGTTGCGTAGATTCTAGTTGATTGCCATGACGTCATTCAATACCTGGTGTTGCCACCATTAGCATTGATCACTGCAACACATGTCCTGTACATGGAGTGGATCAGATGATTCGTAAAGGCCCTGGGGATCCTCCTGCACACATCCAGAACAGCTGTACGAAGTTCATCAGCAGTTGTAGGCACTGGTCGCACTTCATTTAGGCACCTTTGAACCTCATCCCACAAGTGCTCGATAGGGTTCAGGTCAGGGCTGAGAGCTTGCCACGGTAGGACACGGATGTTGTTTTGTTGAAGAAAGTCCATGGTAACTCTTGCAACATGTGGACGAGCATTATCCTGCTGGGCGAAAAATTGAACAACATGGAGTCTGATGACTTGGTCAATGTAACGCTGAGCTGTGACCACATTGGTCCAAGTCTCGCATTAAGTCCAATTCCGGCCCAAAATCATGACACTAGGTCCACCCCATGCATCCCTTTCCAAAACCTTTCTGTCAGCAAAACGATCTCCTTGACGTCGCCAAACTCTGACCCTTCCATCTGCATGTGACACACAAAACCGACTCTCATCAGAGAATATGACACGTCTCCATTCACGCTGACGCCAGTTTTGATGACCCTGTGCCCACTGAAGTCGTGCTTGTCGATGCCGTGGTTGGAGGACAGGACGACGTGCTGGTCGGCGACATCGTAGGTTGTTGGAACGCAGACGTCGGATGACAGTGTCACGGCTGATGCGTCGATTATGCGTTCCTATGGTGTCTCGAGCAGTCTGGCTGCCGTCAGGAAAGGATCTCGCTGGTGTTGACGTGTAATGTGTCGATCTTGTCAAGGGGTGCATTGTGTTGTATCGATGCTGGAGATGGTAGATCGTGGTTATGTTGACATTAAAGTGACGGGCAACATCTTGGACAGACTCTCCAGCTTCCAACCGTCTGATAGCCTGGTTCCTCTCAAGCTGATTTAAATGTGGCATTGTTGAACAAAGAGTGACTGGCCAAAGATTTTGGCTCAATTTTATACCCACTGAAGATGGTGACAACTCGTCCATGTTTGATTGCATGAGGAAAGTGTGCATGATGCCCACATTTCCATTGAAGCGGTGCGTTCTGGCGATTCGTTTTTTTCCTTATGTTCCCACACTGGCTTTGCAAACAGAACGCAACAGAAAATGTTAACAACACCATCAACCATCATTATTTACCAACGTTGTTATAATTTGAGGGGTCTGAGTTTAATTCCTCCTTTGAGTAAGAAACTTGCGTTTCTTTTGCGTGTGAGTATAAATAGTGAGTGTTGTAAGTGACTCTAAACTTTTGAAGAGAAGTTTATATCTGTGAGTTACAAACATTATAGGTAATATATCGCACATATATATTACACATTAAGTTGTTACACCTGATGGCTACGGTTGAGGTAGACATGAGTCAGACACCATCACAGTACCAGATATTGTCTCCATGTCTCACATGATTCCTTTCATTTATCAAGACATTGATGAATATAGAGTGGCATTGAAGTAAAGGTCATTGAACATGAGTTTATGAAACATGGGCTAATTTCAGATTACTTTGACTTGAGGGTTGTAATTGGGAACTTGACTTTATTGGCTTTTTTGTAGTTATTATAATATTTATGCATATAAATGTCTTGATTTAAGTAATTTGTTTCATTTTTATGACTGTAGGTCATACATCAAGTATGTATATTTATCAAACTGAATATGCCATTGCAATTGATTTAAGAAACTAAACAGTGACAGTTTCTAGTACCTGAGGTGTTACGACGATATTATTTATAATAAATGTTTTAATAGAAATTGCTGTTTCTACATATTTGTTACCATTTTGGGGAGATTATGTGCTTGTGTGATAAACTGTCACGCATCTGGTTGAATTAAATTATTTCTATTATTTAGGCTGTGTCCGGTTTTGTTTTCCCCTCTATTTTGTGTGAGTGTGTGTGTGTGTGTGTGTGCGTGCGTTATTGTGTCTTGTGCGCGCCGCGCGTTGCGTGTGTGTGTACATGTGTGTACTCCTTTTGACCAGTATTCCAGTTCTAGTACATCCAAGGAGGAAAGCCCAAAGTATTGCAGATACTTGAAATTTAGCACTTTCGTTAAACCACAAGATCAGTTACAGTGTTGACTGGGATTCAAACTGATGATGGAATCCTGGCACTGACAAGGGACACAACTCTGCAGTTAATCACCGTGCTTCTGTGATTGGGTTTCCTGTGCCCTCAGACATTTTCCCAACAGGTAGTGGGATTAGTTTCCGGACCTGGCTTGACCTTAGTTCATTTTGATATTGAGTTTTGAAATGAAACTGAATAAAAACCAAATCAATAACTATTTCTTTACTTTCAACACCCTGAACACATCAACCTAGGGTTGTGTTGCTGGCTTTACTTTTGAAGATTGGTAATTTGGATTTTTTTACTTTTGTCATTTCCAAGGAAACAAGGAAGATTAAGAATCAATTGATGGTTAGGTCTGTTTCCAGAAGCCATCTAAACAAGCTATTAATATTTCTTTATGAAAGCTGTTGGGGAGGACATGTCAGCCTGATGGATCTTCCTTGGTGTAATAAGGGTCTCTCTATGCTGATGTGGGATACATGACACAAGAGTGAAGAGCGTCTGCAGGAATATATCCAGTTTCTTCTGCATTCTCAGTTGGAAGCGTTTCATGTCTTCCTTCTTCCCAAGTTGAATTTTAAGTCAAAAAGGGTGAGTCAGTCTTCAGTCTCTAGTCAGTCAGCAAGTTTTACTTCAACAAGACATACCAATACATATATTACAAGTACAATACTACTTGCTATGTGACCCATGAAGGTCCCGGTTAGAATATTGATCTTCAGTAACCCATATGCTTGTCGTAACAGGCGAGTAATGGGATCGGGTGGTCAGGCTTGCTGACTTGGTTGACACATGTCATCGGTTCCCAATTGTGCAGATCGATGCTCATGCTGTTGATCACTGGATTGCCTGGTCCATACTATATTTACAGACCGCCGCTATATAGCTGGAATATTGCTGATTGTGACGTAAAACTAAACTCACTCACTCACTCACTCACTCAGTAATATATATTATGAAAAAAGCCTGGGCGTACACATGATTGTCGAAATAAATTCGCTTGCTACGCGCCTGATATGGGTAAATTCGCTTGTCATGGCGAAAACCTAACTGCTTTAGTGTTACTCCTTGAGTGTCAAAAGATACAGGTGTTTTTGAAAATGTTTCCTCATAGCGTAACGTATATAAAAGAAAAATGGTGTTCACCTCCATTAGAAAGTAATTAAGAATCCATGACATTGTGACATGAGGTATCGATCCTGCTCGCAAAAACCAAGACATTGGAGACACAATGCTGACAACTTGATTTAATTGGAGTTATCTCCCTTACGTTAATGACGACAATGAGCTGCTTTTACTGTTGAAATTAAATTCATTAGTATGTTTATTAGCTGACAACTTTCAATGCTTCTTTAGTTAAACGATGCCCATTACACGTAACTATACAGTCTTTTACTCTTGAAATTAAATTCATTAGTATATTAGCTGGTAGCTTTCATAGCTTCTTTAGTTAAACGATGCCTATTGTACGTAACCACAGTCTTCTCAACGTATGTGCAATATTACGTCAAGACAAGCAGTTGGGTAGCAAGAGACAGCATGTCTTTACGTTGTAGACAATGACCTTTCTATACAATTCCTTCCGTGACGGACTTAAAGACTTGCGTCAGTGAACAAAGAAAGAAAATGTTCCATTTAGAAGATTAGAAGAAAGCCTATATCATCGTACGTCTAAGAGCGGGTTCAGTTACTTTGCTCGTCTATAGATGGATCGGTTGATGCTGCGGAGGAACGCAGATAAACGGTATTAATATTCTTAAGTGCTAGAATGGATGGATGCGTAGGATTTGTTCAATCACTTTAAAAACCTGCGGTAGAAGCAGAAA